CAAGGGAGATCAGTGCAATTTACCCTTAGTTTTTGTTTGACTGAAAGGCTAATAAATATATATATGTATTTATGTATAAAGAAAATTAATTATGAAGATTATATACAAAAAATATTTGCAAAAGAGTTAATACTCTATAAAATTCTATTTTTTTTTAATCTATTTTTCTCATTCTTAAACACAAAATAACAAGGTTCACATTCATAAATCCATATGAAACCTATTTGCTTGTGCATTGGAGAATGAGAAAAATAAGAAAGAAATATAATTATATGTAGCATTTTCTTTTGCAAAAAAATACATTTTTCAAAAAAAAAATAAAATAAAATAAAAAATGCCAAGACACTCCAAATTTTCTACTTTGCATGTGTTTGGTAAAAAAGTCTATACATACCTCTTGCTTCCAATGCTTTAAGTTTTACTAACCAAGCCCAGTATTTTTTTATTTATAAGAGGCGGCACCTTGAAAGATAAATATGACCCTTCACTTTGGTACTCAAACCATCTGGGAACCTCACCACATGGAAGATTGATCTCAAATTCATTTACAACAAGAAAATCCTGTTCCAATAGATGATGCATTAATCAAACTACAGACTAATAAATCTCTTTTCCTTGCTAAGATATGCAATGAAAAATAAAATCCCATTTGATATCAGAAAAAAGAAATAGAAAGCCACAAGTGAAGGGGGAAAAAAAGAAAAAGCAATTTTTCCTTTTCTCTTTGTTTTCCCTCCACAAATTCAAGATCTAAACAAAGTCTTGGATGAATGAGACATTAGCAATTGTATTAATTCAGAATAATCAGGGATTGACTATGATTCTTCAAGTATGAATTATTATACCAATGAGAGAGAGAGAGAGAGGGAGAGATACCTTAACCTGCAGGATGACTGCTGTCATGAAATTATTTCCAAAATTGTTCTTGACTAATTTATGGCAACCATTAAAGTTGAGACATCTCCGAGAATAACCCCCAACCAGCTATTTTAACTCAATGTTCTCTACTGAAAAACAATCCAATGCATGCACTTCACGTATGCTCTCAGGAAGCTCAGGAATTGATTGGAGCCTTGCACAACCATCCAAGAAGAGGTGTCTCAAGTTAGTAAGCTTACAGATGCCATTCGGTAAGGTACGGGTAAATTGTTTCTTCTAAGATACAAGACTTTTATTGAGTTCAACTTTCAAATTTCACTGGGCAAATGTGACAGATTGCAGTTATCCATATCTAGAACATCCAAGCGAGTAAGGTTACATATGCTATCCGGTAATGTACACAAAAATTTGTTTCCGTCAAGTCCCAAGTTTTTTAATGAGATCAAACTCCCAATTTCACTGGGCAAATGTGACAGATTGCAGTATCCCATATCTAGGCTCTCCAAGCGAGTAAGGTTACATATGCCATCCGGTAACATGACACAAAAATTTGTTTCTGTAAAGTTCCAAATCTGTTAATGAGATCAAACTCCCAATTTCGCTGGGCAAATGTGACAGATTGCATTCTTGCATATCTAGCTTCTCCAAGCGAGTAAGGTTACAGATGATGTTAGAAATTGGGCGCCCATGTGGCATGACCCTTAGAACCTTTTGAACCTCATCCAAATGGGTTTTGAATTTAAATTCAAACCTACAGATTGCAGTCTTGCATATCTAGCCTCTCCAAGCGAGTAAGGTTACATATGCTATCTGGTAATGTACACAAAAATTTGTTTCTGTAAAGTTCCAAATCTGTTAATGAGATCAAACTTCCAATTTCACTAGGCAAATGTGACAGATTGCAGTCTTGCATATCTAGCCTCTCCAAGCGAGTAAGGTTACAGATGCTGTCTGGTAACGTACACAAAAATTTGTTTCTGCAAAGTGCCAAATCTGTTAATGAGATCAAACTCCCAATTTCATTGGGCAAATGTGACAGATTGCAGTCTTGCATATCTAGCCTCTCCAAGCAAGTAAGGTTACAGATGCTATCCGGTAACGTACACAAAAATTTGTTTCCATAAAGTTTCAAATCAATGAGATCAAACTGCCAATTTCACTGGGCAAATATGATACATTGCACTTGGCTATATTCAATGTCTTCAAACTTCTTAAACCCTGTAGTGAAAAACCAATGGAATCCACATTCTTTCTTGGCAATGCCCACAATGAGAAAAATGTGTACAATGATTTTGATGGTGATCCTTTAAATCCAGCAAATTCTCTTAGCTTGGCACAGCCAGAAAGATCAAGATGCTCAAGAGATTTCAACATGAAAATCCTTGAAGGCAACTGCTGAAGTTTTATACAATTTGCCATATCTAGGACAATAAGTTTGCTGAGACATCCAATAGATTCATCAATCTTTACCAACCTTATGCAGTTATCAATAAACAGTTCCTCAAGATTGCCGAGTCCAGAGAAGTTTGGGGTTTTGGTTAGGTAATAACAGTGGCTGAGATAAAGGAATTTCAGATTATTAAGATCCTGTCAAAAACACAGAGAAAAATTATTTTTCACATCAGTACAATATGATTGATATATGAAATGTAAAGAAGTAATGTTGTACCTTGGTTCCCTTCCAAACTTATCAATATATGAAACCTAAAGGAATAAAATTGTACCTTGGTTCCCTTCCAAACTTGTTTCAGTTTGCTATAACGCAAGTCAAGAGCAACCAACTTCTCCATGTATAATTTCGATGGCAACCATAACAACGGACAACCCTTCCAGCTTAGCCATAATAGCCTCCTAAAATTATGTTCAAAACCTGAACTTAGGTGAACAAAATCAAGATGAAGCAGCCACAATTGGTTCATATTTTCAAAGGCCTTCGCATTCACTTGGACTTCTTTTGACTCAGGAAAGTTCAGGGAGAGGCCCTTAACTGCTTCAGTACCCTGATAAGAAAACCCATGGGGCAAAAAAAATTACATTAGTTGGAAGACAACACATAAGGCCAAGTACATTTGTATCACTTAATTGCCAGAATTATGAATGTGCATATGCATGTGAAATTATTGCAAGAATTAAACGTCAAATATTAATTGGAAGTTCATGCTTATGGTTCTCACCGTGCCATATCTCAATACTTCAAGACCATCCTCATGATGCCACAATCTACTACGCCTTCCAGGCTCATCATTAGATTCTTTCTTGACGATTTCTCTGCCCATGTCTTTAAGCATATCATGCATCACAAGCTTGTTCCTAGGCCCATATTTTATAAGACAACGATCGAACAGAATCCTCAACCCAATTTCAGGGAATAATTTACAGCCTTTTAATATTTTGATTATAAAATTTCGATCCATTCCAACAAAGAAACATGCTATATCCAAGAATAACGCCTTCACTTCGTCACTTAATGAATTGTAACTTATTTTAAGTTTTTCTTGAATACCATTATGAGGGATTTTTTTTTAATTTTTCTATTGCACTTTCCCATTCCGGTATGCTTTTGATGTGAAAAAAAAACGAACCCAAATTTTCAAGAGCTAATGGAAGCCCTCTAGCATAGTCCACAACTTGTTTTGAAAGCTCCACATAGTTTTCTACGGGATGGTCTTCCTTAAAGGCATGCCAACTGAAGAGTTGAAGAGATTTGTCCTCATCCAACTTATTTGGTGTATATATCTCGTCCGGTTTAAAATTTAATGATGACAAATCTCTTGTTGTTATGATGATTCTACTTCCAGGACCAAAATAAGTTCGATCTACGGCTAATTCCTTTAATTGTTTGATATCATCCACGTCATCCAAAACAAGTAGAACCTTTCGATGCAATGCTCTCTGTATTATGACCTCTTTTCCTTGGTGAATATTTCTGATGTGAGGAATTTCATTTTTGAATATATCGGAAAGAAGTTGTTCTTGTAATTTTAACAAACCATTTGGTTTTGTTAAGAATGATGTATTATTGATTGATTTTGTATATATTTTGTATATTACAAGCTATTATATAGGAGAGGATTTGGGAGTAGGTGAGGTAGGTGAGTAGGTGGAGTGGGTGGTAGTGGAGGTGGTAGGTGGAGTGGGTGGTAGTGGAGATGGTAGGTGGAGTTGGTGGTGTGGTAATTTACACAATTTACATTAACAGCCCCCCTCAAACTCAAGGAGGATAGGCACTAGCCAACTTGAGTTTGAAGAGAGTAACAAAACAGAAAAATAAACTGATAAATAAAATAAAACAGGATAGGAGACACGGTATGGTCGTGTCAGACCGGTGTAGAAGACAGTTTACGGGGTCATGTCGGACCGTTGTAGAAGCTGACCGGAATCAATGTCGGGACAGTTTACGGGGTCATGTCGGACCGATGTAGAAGACAGTTTACGGGGTCATGTCGGACCGGTTTAGCAGGACAGTTTACGGGGTCATGTCGGACCGATGTAGCAGGACAGTTTACGGGGTCATGTCGGACCGTTGTAGCAGACACTGTGTGGTCGTGTCAGACCAATGTAGCAGACAGTTTATGGGGTCATGTCGGACCGATGTAGCAGAGGTTGTGGTGGTGCACCAAGGGGGCGACTTAGGGAGTGCGCCATGAGCGACTTATACATGATACTGTGTATAACCCCCCTCAAACTCAAATAGGTGTGAAGATAGAAACCTATTTGAGGTTGAAACAAAGGGATTGATAAAGCTTTTTTTTTTTTTTTGTTAAAGAAAGGAATCGAATAAAAAAAATATGGTGATAAGCATGGTGATAATGAATATAGAATGAGGAATAAATAATAAAAAAATAATAATAAAGGAGGTAGTGGGGAACAGGGAGAGCACCAAGTAAGCTTTAGAATAAAAAATAAAGTTTGGGCGGTGAATGGGTGTGAGTAAATAAATAAAAAATAAAAAAAAAGAGATTAGAAGTTTAGACTAACGAAGCTTGATAATAAAGAAAAGAAAGGTGAAGATGGGCTTAAAAAATAAAAAAGAGGATGGGTGTGTGTGCAAGATTGGTTTAAAAAATAAAAAGAAGGATGGGTGTGTGGGCAAAAGAAGGAGGAAAATAAATATAAGCATGAGTGGGGAACAAGAATGGAAAAAAAAAAAGGATTCCAGCCTCAAGTCTTTTAGATAAAAGTTTATTATAATCTCATCTGAAACCAAGTGCCCTTGGTTTACAATCTCTGCAAGCTGATGAGAGAGAGGGCCATTGGAGGAGAGAGAGACTTGTTCGGAGATGAGAGAGATGTTCTTGGAAAGCATACAAAGCAAAGAGATTGGGAAAGCATACAAGCCGTTTGGACCCGCCACGCTGCCTCACCAAGAGATCGATCTCTTGAAGGTCGTGAAGAAGGCTTCGGACCCGAAATCGGCCGGCGGACTCGGCTTGCAGCTCCCTCTCATCGTTCGGTTACCGGATGTGTTGAAGAACCGCCTCGAATCCCTTCAATCCGCGTTTGAATTCGCGATCCAATCGCAAGGCTACGAATCGCATTACCAAGGCGTTTATCCTGTGAAATGCAACCAAGACAGGTTCGTGGTTGAAGATATCGTGAAATTCGGGGCGGGTTTCCGATTCGGGTTGGAGGCAGGGTCAAAACCCGAGCTTCTTCTCGCTATGAGCTGTCTCTGCAAGGGAAGCACTGAAGCTCTGTTGGTTTGTAACGGGTTCAAAGATGTTGAGTACATTTCGCTTGCTTTGGTTGCAAGAAAACTAGCTTTGAATACAGTGATTGTGCTTGAGCAAGAAGAAGAGATTGGGAGTGAGGACAGAGAAGAGCATGAGGACATTTACAGCTGAAGAATAGAGAGTTGCTCTTTTGAATCTGGCTGTTCCATCGCCTATCTTCAGTGAAACCGATCCCATCTCTGAGATCCAAGGGCAATTTGAGAGTAAACTTTTGCATCATCATCTTTCCGGCTGCTGAGGGGCTCGCGCCATGGGCGGCGCGTGGGTGCGTGTTGGCTCTGACTTGGCTAACTCGGGCAATGGCACAGGAGGCCACTGGTTTTGATTGATGGAAAACTTTAGCGGAATTGGTTGAGGTCCGGCGGACGGCTAAGGTGAGGTTGCCGCCCGCCAGTGAAGCAAAAATATTAGGTTCTAAACCTGCTCTGATACCATGATAAATTGTAGTATTATTGATTGTTGTGTTTTTTGTATATATTTTGTATATTACAAGCTATTATATAGGAGAGGATTTGGGAGTAGGTGAGGTAGGTGAGTAGGTGGAGTGGGTGGTAGTGGAGGTGGTAGGTGGAGTGGGTGGTAGTGGAGATGGTAGGTGGAGTTGGTGGTGTGGTAATTTACACAATTTACATTAACAGGTTTCTTCCAAGTTTCTCTGACATCTGCAAGAAAGCTGCAACCATCAAATCTATGGTGGATGAGTTTATACAAATTTTTAGCTATTGTTGTCTTCCCTAGTCCACCAATCCCCCATACTACAACAATGCGAACATCATTATCATTTGACTCTATGCGCAACAACATTCTGAGTTTCTGCACACGATCCTCTAGTCCAACCGGGTGGTCTGCAACACTTAGATGTTCAAGATCTATTACATTCCCAACTTCCTCAATGATTTTAGCAATTAACTTCACTTCATCTCTGCCAATTTGAGCAAAATTAAAAAACAAGAATAAGTATTTAGCAAATTCACGCATCTGGTGACATTTCAAATTTGATGGATAAACCAGTTTGATTTATTTTTATGAATAACATAAATGATTCTACTTATACATCCAAATGAAACTATTCCTAATTTGTGTTGTTTTAGGTTATTTTCAAGCAAACATTAAGAGGCTTGAGGAAAATACCCGTTGTACACGTTCTTCAAGTCCCAACCAGACAAATTAGCAGCCTCAGTAATAGCTGCCCTCCACTTCTCCACCTTGCCATCTGAGCTCTTTCCAAAATGGTCTTCATGCTTGGCAAATGCTTCTACAAGGCTCCCCTTTTGCGTCCGCACGTCAAATGGATCAACATCATAAAAAATAGGCAGAACAATCCGATTAAATGTCTTCTTGCACTCCACTATCCACACCAGTTCATCCAGACACCACTTCGACATTGCATAATTTTTTGAGAACACAACAATCGAAATACTAGACTCCTCAATTGCTTTTAGTAGTTCAGAACCAATATCTTCTCCTCTGTTGAGCTTTGTGTCGTCCCTAAATGTGTAAAAACCATGTTGCTCTAAAGCAGCTAATAGATGACTGCTAAAGTTCATGCGGGTATTGATGCCACTGAAACTCAAGAAAACATCATATTTGTGTTGTACAGTAGTAGAAAAGGAAGAGGCTTCGTCTGCCCAAGACGCAGCCATGCGTGAAGCTTACAGATGAATGGAAGTTTGTAGAGTGGTGCTTTTGTTCGAGGAACAAGGGATAGTCTTGTGTACTTTCCTTGTTATAGGTGGCTTGCATAGGGATGGCAACGAGAGTTAACGGGGGTAGATATTAATTCATCGTTCCCATTCATCTATAATTATTTTTTTTCATTCTCCATGGTAGTCCCCCCCTTAGCTCCTAATGGGTTTGAATTTTTTCCAATCCAACTTGACCTTTTTTTTTTTAATTTTTTTTTTAAGGGTTACAACCAAAATTTTTTTTTTTTTAAGATTCACAACCAAAGCTAAATATATATTCAATCTTATTTTATTTTATTTGACTCAACAACAAAATCAAATACACATTAATTAATATTGTCACATTATTCTTGTCAAATTTATATTTAAATTTTTTTAAATTTATTTAGAAAAATTTTATTCCTAACAAAAAATTCATCTTCTTTTTTAATTTTATATATCTCCTTCTCCTCTCCATTAATTGATCTTCGATAATCTGAAGGTGAGTTGCTGCTCTCGTTTCCATCTTCTTCTTCTTTTTTTTTAAATTTTTATCTGCATTTATAGAATGAATTTTCTTGTTTTAATATTTCCTGCAATTGTTTTATTGGTTTGTTTCTGATTTGATGGTAACCTTAGATTGAATTTCCCAATTTTCATCTTAACTAGTGATCACTTTAATTGAAATTTTGTACATTTTTGTCTTCAATTTTCATGTTTTGGTTATGAACGTTGCGTTGATATGTGCTATTAGGGGCTTGTGAAAGCTAAATATTCGATTGGTGCTGTATTACCAATTCTAGGTTTGCCTTGCTTTTTAGTGGGTTTGCTTCTTTGTTCGTGTTAATCTGATCTTCTGTCTGGAAAATAGGCCTAAGGATTGAAATTGGGGTTGTGGAATTTGGCCATTTACGCAGCTTCCATTGAACTATTGTTTGCTTATTTTTTGTAAAGAAGCTCGAAAGATACCTTGATGGCTTTAATTTTGCTCTAAATTTGATATTTTTTTTAGTGGAATTCTTGTGATTTTGGGTTTGTTTCAATCTCGTTCTACATTGAGTCGATTAATTGATTCCCAAGAGTGGAGGATAATGCTTAGTACGTTATTTTTATTTGAATTTTAGTACTTAATTTCTTAACTTAGTTAAGAACTCTTGCATGACCCACTAAAATACTGATTAATCTGTTGCCTACTTTATGCTTTTGGACTGCTATTATTTTGTTAAATTAGAAAGAATTACCGTGATCAAAATGGCTTCTCAATTACAGGGCTTAGCTTGGTGATTTGAGTCTCATGAGTTGCATCTCCCTCCCCCTTCACTTAGGAGTATTTATATGTATGTATGTTGTATACAATGTTTGGAGCTTAGCCAATATGTCACTAACTTGAAATGCTATGTTTCATCTTTAGTTAAAAACATCATTGGGTCTCAATATGATTCATATAACTTGGAACAATTACTGTCCATCCATGTGAGACATAATTGATTCATTATATTTCTAATGGGCATGCATTTTTTTAAAAAAATATAAATATCCACAATTTGGTTTCTCAATAGACAAATCAATATAAATCGGTTTCTAAAAAGATATGAATCTCTAGGTTTCATGAGTTTGTTCTCATAAGATGTAAAGTTTTCAGTCATTTAGGAGTTTAGAACCATTCAGACCATTTCCACTTTGAAAGAAAAAGTACCTGAATTTGATATATTAGTGATATAGTTAGATTGTATATTATTTTTCCCTTGATTGGGCCTTGTAGATTCCATAAGACTTTGAAGTTGTACATTATACTTGAAGTAGAAAGTACAAATTTGATTTGATTTGATTTTTCATTTAGTAAACTGTACATGCTAGACACCTCCATGAGAAAGAGAAGGGTAAGTACAGACCAATCTCATTAGAAATTTAAATGAGTTATGATCTACTTATACCTATTTAAAATGAATCTTTCAAAAATAAAAAATAAAAAATTGAATCTTACGTGGTGGGTAAGTACTAAACTACCTAATAATTATCCATCAGATAACCCAACCCAACTTATTTATTTTAGCTTGCTCCCCTAACCAAATTAACTTTTATCTGTTCTGTCTAACTAAACCTGACTATGACTGTCTAACTAAACCATAGAGAGAACTGCAGCTGCAGCTATTGTAGCATTAGCTGCTCTGTCTGTGGACTGTGATCTTGGTAGTTGGCTATTGTTGTTGCTCTGTCTGTGGACTGTGGCCTTGGCTGCAACTGGCCGCTATGGCTGCTGCTGCTCTGCCTGTGGCCGAACTGCAACTCTGCCTTATCAAAAGATCCTATTGTTTAGAGCAAGTTCTAAACATGCCTACGCATTCCAGAATATATATACATATATTTTTTAGAGGGATATTTCCTAAAAACCACCGAGATGAGATTCTTTTTAGAATTATAACTTGATAGTTGTAATGATCAATATAATGCTATAGAAAGCCAACCAACTCAATATTAAATTTGTAATATTTTAACAGTTTCAATGTAGTGATATATTTAAGTGAACCCCCTATTTTTATTTTTCCCCCTTGAACCCCCTTCTCTCTATGTTGAAACTTTGGATTTGATGACTCCAAAGTGCCATCCTTTATTTGTACAGTTTTTTTCCCCCAATAATTCTAAAATATTGTGTTTTTTTCCCCAATAATTCTAAAATATCGTGTTTTTTAATTATATTTTGTAATGATTGATTGTAATTTGTCCATCAGACCTCTTTCTTTGACCCATTAACATTTGGAATGTCCATTTATCCAATGAAAAATCTTGCTATATCTGTAACCTTTAATTGGCATATTGCTTCTTTTGAAATGGGAATGGCAGTATGACATATTTAAAATCTTAATATATTAGGAAGCTCTAAATACAAAACTTCTTCAACTTGCAAAGAAGTGGCACTGAAATAAAGGAGTTTCAATGAGGGAGTCATGTTTTGTATTCTTTGTTGTCAATCAAAAAGATTAGTTTCAATGGGTATATTGTTTGTTTATTTGAAATATAGAAGTGAATTGAATTGGGTTTTCTATTTGTTACTAGGATAAAAACCATAAGTTCCATGAATTTATATATATTTATTTGTTAGGCAAATTTGAAAATTAATTGAATTGGGTTTTGGATTCTTTGCTGGGGACATATGTATTATATATATAATTACATTGTCTATATTTTTCAACTGAAGTTGAATTATGTTATATAGTTGTAGAAAATGGTCCAAGGCAAAAAACAATGGCTGAAACCAGGTGATTTGAGAACTAAGAAGCTAACAAAATATGAGAAACAAAGAAACAAGCGACTCAAGGAGAACTGTGAGATAATGAGCAATCTTGGAGTCAAGAATATCACAAATTCTTTGGTGAGTACGGTTCATTCCGGATACTTCATCATAATATGAATGTTGGGTCTCCCAGGTTTGTGTAGAAATCCTTCATTTTTTAAATTTATTTTTGGGTTTAATTTAAGCTATATGGGTTCATTGATAATTTTCTATTCACATTTCTTACAACTTCTGTGATATTTAGGAA